CTTACTATATGGGACCGAGGTACAACATATTAAAAAAAAAATAAAATAAAAATTTCGGCTCCTCGTAAACTCCATCGTTCTTTTTCAGCCGTCCTGGAGAAGAAATAAGAAAATGTAAGTGGATGTCGAAATACACATGTATGTGCGTAAAATCGCAATGTCGGCGAAAAAAAGGAAAATAAACTCAAGCACAAGTAATAGCATTGAAAAAAAGTTTTAAATAAAAATATAAATATATGAGCATATTAAAATTGTTTAAAAAAAAAAATTAATAAATATCGTAAAAAGAAAGATCGAGATATTATAAAATGTCGAGTAGTGCATTACGTGCAATAGTCGTTTAAATGTTCTGGAAATCTTACTCTTCTTCCAGAACGTGTCGTTTTAAGTTTATTTTCAGACACATTCGGAGTGTCATCGCTAGTGTTGGTTGTTGGTTGAGGAATTATGAGTGTAGGAGTCGTGTTGTGCGATTGTACCGAAGGGAAATCAACGTGAATATGATTTCCTTCTAAATACGCTGCTTTCAAGCGATCGATGCTGATGCTATCGTTTGTTCCGTTCTTATCGACTATATAGTATTTCGGTTCGCGTTGAAGAACTTTGAAAGGTCCTTCATATGCTGATTTGAATGGTCGTCGATGTGCGTCTCAACGAACGAAAACGTGTGTACTATATCGTAAGTCAGGTTGAACGAAATCATCGATGGATTGTGGTCGTGTGGAAGCAGGTTTAACTGAACGCATTGCGTTTTTAAGCCTGTTCGTGTAGGAGGTTAGATCCATGTTCATTGAAGAGGATGAAGGATCCACGAATTCTCCTGGAAGTCGAGGTGTCGTTCCATAAACGAGTTGAACCGCAATGTATCCAATGTCAGCTTTCAGTGCATTGCGGATACCTAGTAAGACGAGTGGAAGAGCGTTGGTCCACTGTGAAACGTTTGCAGCTGATAGTGAAGCTTTTAGTTGTCGGTGAAAGCGTTCTACCAACCCGTTTGCTTGTGGATGGTAGGCAGTCGTTCGGAAGCGAGTGATTCCTAATAGTGTGGTCAGACGACGGAAACGTTCAGACTCAAACTGACGTCCGCGGTTTGTAGTGATGGTTGAAGGGCAGCCGAAGTTTGCTACTCATCGTTCGACGAAGGTGCGGGCCACTGTCTCAGCATTGATGTCCTTGATAGGTACTGCTTCTGGCCATCGAGTGAAACGATCTACGCAGGTTAAGAGGTAAGAGTATCCATTTTAATCTGGTAAAGGTCCTACCAAATTCAGATGAACATGGTCGAAACGAGCATTGGGAGTTTTAAATGAGCCTAAGGGACATTTATTGTGTCTGATGACCTTAGATTTTTGGCAGCTTACACAGAAGCGTGCCCACTCCCTCACGTCTTTATTCATACCAGGCCAGCAAAACTGTTCTGCTATAAGCCTGATGGTTGCACGAACAATTGGATCAGATAGTTTGTGCAATGTGTTGAAGACATTGCGTCGATAATGCTTCGGGACGATTGGGCGATCCCTACCTGTAGATGTGTCACAAAGTAAGGTTTCCTTACCTGTTCCCATTTGTTTGATGCATAGTTTAAGGGTTGTAGACGATAACTCGTGCTGAAGATCAGTATCTTCTTTTTGAAGCTCGGCGAGTTTAAGAAGGTCGATTGCTTGGAAGGAAGTTATGCGAGATAAGGCGTCTGCGACTACATTGTTTGCTCCAGAGATGTGTTGAATGTCTGAAGTAAACTGCGAAATGTAGTCCAGTTGTCGAGACTCACGGGGAGAGTACTTGACTGAAGTAGAGATTAGGGAGAATGTGAGTGGCTTATGGTCAGTGAAAGGAGTGAATTCACAACCTTCGATGTAGTGTTGAAAATGCCGTACAGCACAATACATAGCTAGGAGTTCCCTACTGAATGTGCTGTACCTCTATTCGGTGTCTAGCAACATTCTAGAGGAAAATGCCAAGGGCTGCCAGGAGTTGTTAACCCATTGTTACAAGACTCCTCCGATTGCAGAGTCCGATGCGTTTACTGCGATACTAATGGATGCTTTGGTGTCCTGATGTGCGAGCATTGTTGCTTTAGCGATGAGTTCCTTAATTGTGGAGAATGCTTTCCGTGCGTTGTCGTTCAAAATAATGGATTTCGCATTTCCACGAAGTTGGTCGGTTAGAGGTTTCATGAGTAAAGCGCATTTAGATACGAATCGTCTATAGAAACTTACAAGGCCGTTAAACATTCGTAGTTGCTTGATCGTGGTCAGTTCTGGGTGATCCAGAATTGCCGCCACTTTGGTCCTAAGGGGTCGAATGGCTTGAGTATTTATAGTGTGTTCTAGGAAATCTAATGAGTTGGTCACGATTTGGCATTTTTGAACGTTTACAGTAATGCCATGTTTTCGTAGTTGTTCGAAAACAAGATCCAGATGCTTGATATGTGATTCTTTGTCCAGACGTGCGATTAGGCAGTCGTCAACATACGCATGTACGAAGTTGAGACCTCGAAAAACGTCGTCTATGAATATTTGGAATGTTTGAGCAGCGTTTCTTAGACCGAAAGACGTTCGCAAAAATCCATAGAGTCCGAAAGGAGTAACTATGGCCATGGGAATTTGGTTATACGCTTTAACCAAGTCGATTTTCGAAAAGACATTTGTACCTTTCAAGGTAGCTGTCAAATCGTGAATGTGAGGCAACGGGTAACGATCGGGAATGGTTTTCGCATTCAATCGCCGATAGTTGCCAGTTGGACGCCATACGTTGCTACTCTTTTTAGGGCCCATGTGCAACGGAGATGCATATGGGCTGATTGACGGTCGTACGATTCCCAAGTCTATCATGTGATCGAACTCGTTTTTCTCTAACCTTAGCTTTTCAGGGGCTAGTCGTCGTGCTTTAGAGAATACAGTTGATCCTGTAGTCGTGATGTGATGTGTAACGTTGCTGGTTACACACAGTGGTTTCGGTTGCGTTTGATGAATGCCAGGATACTTATCGAGTAGTGGTTGATAGGGTGGGTCTATCAAATCCTTAACTGTGACTGGGGATAATCTACAACCAGAAAACGAAGTCACGCAAACGGATAAATTAGTGTTTCCGTCTACTAGCCTCCGTTTGCGCGTATCGATGATCAGATTATGGTGTTGTAGAAGATCCATACCAATGATTGGCATAGAAACATCTGCAACAACGAAAATCCAGAGAATGGGTTTGCGTAAACCCACGTCAAGGTAAACGTACCTTTTGCCATACGTAGCGATCGGTTTTCCGTTTGCCGTCTGTAAGTTTAGAGCCGATTCTTGAAGTTGGTCGTTGGGACTTGCTGGGAGAACGCTAACTTCTGCGCCAGTGTCGACGAGGTAGCGAACTCTCGTTGTCACATCTGTGACGTACAACAGACGGCTATGTTCGCCGGCTACGGTTGCCATTAACGCGTGCCGGCTTGGAAGTTTCCAGGATTGTTTTTCGAGTCAGTCGTTTTCGTGTTGGGAAAATTGCAGGGTTTTCTGCAATTTCTGGAAGACTTTCCATTATGGTTATGATACCAGCACCAGTCGGGGTTATCCGTCTCTCGTGGTCTAGAGACAGATCGTTTACGTGAAGTGCTTCTACGTGGGCTGTGTGAGCGATTACGGTCGTTACGAAGATTAAGATAACGCGTGAGTGTATGACATAACTCGGTTATGTCATTCTGAGTTGTGTGAGGCTTTTCTTTGACTGAAAATACCTCTGTAGTAGACGATTTCGTTATTTCTAAAATACGATTTGCAGATGCAGCCAGCTCGTCTAAAGCGTTGTTTTGAAACGAGACAAGCACAGTTTGCACACCTGTTGAGGAAGTTTAGACAAGAAAAGTTGTTTAAATAGGCCTTCGTCGAAAGTTCTTAGGCCTATCACTTCTCTCATTCGTTGCAACATGTCCGTCGCAGAACCGTGTTGCAGGTCAATGTTATTGAAGAGTTGATCTAACCTTTTTCGATCGATTAGGTCTCCTCGTTTAAGAATCGAACGTTTTAGGATTTCGTAAGTTTCGGAAACATCACTAGTAAACATACTAGGTGTTACGTACCTGTTGAATTCGCGCGGTAGTGCCTTGACTACTGCGAGGAATTGTGCGCGTGTGTCGATCACACTGTGCTCGAAGAAGTCGGCTTCTGCGTAGCAGAACCAAGCTTCGATATTGTCGGGCCAGACGGGCATGAGTTAGAGCGAGGGTGGAGACATGGTCTTAAGCTTAAATACCTTGGGAGTCTGTTTGGTCATAGGGGAATATTTAATACGAGAATACCAGGGAAAAATATATAGATATTCTGAGACTCGGGGAAAGAAATATCACAATGTATAAAAATTAAAAAAGTAAGACAATAGTATATAAAAACCCCTAAAAGGAACAGACTCATAGTTGCAATTAGGTGTAACAGATCACGTTGGTCTCACCAATGAAGATGGCACAGGTATTCAGTATTCGACAACGCTTTTACCAGCAACACCTAATATAATTTGTACCCACCGAGAGAAATCAAAAGACAGAGTCGAGGAGATCGGAAGAGTGTATTTGGCGATTACCAATATATCGGAATTCTCTGATCTAATCGGGCTAGCGATTGCGGTAGATGTTGAGCACAGCGTTACCACACGTGATCTGGTGCGGATGCATGACCGAGCGCCTTCAGCTAGACGAGTCCACTTAAACATATGATCAGCATCCGATGTCGAAAACTTACAGAGCTATTTATTTTGGGGATTTATTTACTGCTACAAGTTGGTTCGCCGTTTTAATAAGGGCTCAAAATAGTACCTTATGTAGATTTACTGTCAAATATCTTTTTTCCTGTTTGATTTCATATTTCTAAGATCTCAACTGGAGGAATAAATGATAAATTCATAAAGATACGTAAATCTGTTAAATGAGGAATTTTTCATTTAAGTTCATAATCATTTGGTTTGATTACCAGGATTTCACGGAATCAAATTTAAAGATCAAAATATTAATTTTCGAAGTTGAAGAAACTCCTGTATTCAAAGTATTCAATTTGAAAGAAGGAAATCAACTTTTACTGGTCAATGTTCAAGTACAAACATCAGATTATAACGTAGAATTTTGCTTTGTCTTAACGAATTTATGACTTAATACAATTAGCGCGCAAGTAGAAATATTTCGGCCGTTTATGTTTTTTTAAGAAATGGTCGGTAATGGTGAATACGAGGATCAAAACTCCTCAAATGCATCATCATTTTGGGAGTGTCGAGAATATCATCGGACAGTTAAACGCGTGGATGCTGCATACAAACTTTGTAATGAATTATGTTTAATGATACAAGAACGGGCAGAATTAGAAAAAGCATATTCATCTAATCTTAAGAAATGGTCCTCGCGGTGGCTTAGTTTCCTTGATTCTGGTCTAGAGTATGGTTCTGGATCCTCTCCTTGGAAAGGATTATGTAAGGAAGCTGAAGCTGTATCAAATGCACATCAAGTAAGAACTTTTTCGGTGACTTAGTTATCGCGACCTCTTTCAAAATACTGGCAAATCTCTGTACTGCTAGATCTAGTGTTCACAATGTCAACTGAGTTGGGTTATACGAATAATCAGTTTTTGTATTTGCGTGGTGGTTTTGGCAACGATTGAGCGAATGCACACAAGATGAAATCGCTCATATTATACACAACCTTGGTTGTCGTCCTCGTTGCTGACTAGTCCTTATTAAAATGCGATCTCTGTGTACTTCGCTGATTTTCTTTTTGAAACACTTGGCGGCTATCTTAACTGCGATTATTTATTTGTCATTAATTAGTGATAATCGGTAGCCTGAGCGCATACCATCAGTGCTTATTTGTTGTTCGTAAGTTTATATTTAAAATCATTTACGGAATTCGAAAGTTGTAATAGACAACAAAATTATATTTGTCAGCTTAATCGGAAAAACCTTCGGTTGTGTATTAAGTAAGTCATAATAATAATAAGTCATGGTTTCCAGAAGAATCAGTAACAGGATGATTTGCTACTTTTTAAACTCGGGTATTTAAATGTTACGACTTGGATAGTGATTAGGTACAAATCGGGGCTGTTTGTGACTTCATTTTGTCTCATTCAGGAAAATACACTTGCAGAAACTTTCTAGAATAATATTAACACGTGCAATTGACCTTCTGTCCTCAATACACAAATCTGCACCTCAGTCGTTTACCTAGTTTCGTCACATCCCCCGTATTGTCTTTTGGCTAAGTAGATTAGGTTGGTTCGTGCTACTGTAAAGTGGTTTTAGTCCACTGTCAAAAAGAAATCGTACCAATCTATTTGCTTATTGGGATTTGCCAAAAACCTTAAAATGATTTCATCACTTGTCCTAGATAAGTGTTGGTGTTGGATTTCTTATTTGTGGTGAGATTATCTTTTTAGCACGAAGTATGATGAAATCTGTGGTAGTATTTAGTAAGTGGCATTGTGCGTCTAGACATGACAGTCATCCCACAATTCACATAAAGCTTTTTGTGTTAAGGAATGAAATCGGCTTATTACTAAAAATTGACATGCCGTATTAGATAGGTCAGTATAGGTAAGTATTGAGCAGAATTCAATCTTTACATTCATATTGGTTACAGCTGACTGTATCCAAACTTTAGTGGTTGTCAGTAGCAGTATGATTAAACTTATAACTATTACTAATGTCTTTCAAAGAAACCTGTAAATCTAATTGTGAGTGGTAAGTATCAAGTACTAAGTTAACTCGTCTGTATCTCGAGTTTATAGGGAGCGTTTTCAAAATGATTAGTAATTGACGTGAATCCTGAAAATACTTTTGGATGTTCTTGCGAATAAACCTCATTTATCTAATGAATACGGTGGTCTTGAGTGGTTTAAAAGGTATGAGGGAAGTTATCACTTCCCGGTTGCTTACACAATGAAGGGTCCCTTTAGAGGTAACTGAAAAGGAAATTGGATTAGTCTTAGTTACCGGAAGCGTGACCACAATATCTAAGAGGCAGCTGCTTGAGGCTGGCCACACATGACCTTTTTGGGGGTAATTTTTGTGTTAGCTTCGTAGTTATTGAGACCTTACCGCTGGGGACGGAATAAGACGAGGTGTGATTCATAACGACAGGCAAGGCCGACCACCAAGTCAAGGCAGCAGCACCGGTCAGGTGTAAATAAACATAACACTGTGTAACCAGGGAATATCACATACTAATACAAGTGGCCACAATTAAATTTTACTAGGAAATAATAGCCTATCAAAACATAAAGCGATTATTCAGGTTCAAACTGACCAGCATTTAGTTTGTTCCTACTCACTGCCTTCTCGCGGCACGGGTGTTATTTACGAAATTGGGAGGACAAAAAGCAAATGTCCGACGCTCTAATCGGGTTGGTGGATATGGAGGATCCACCTAGGGTAATTGGAAAACCCTGATTCCAAACCATTAGTGCACGTGGGCTCCAGTATCCTGAGGGAATAAATGGCATGTGAACCAATCGTTGGTCACCGGCTACCGTGGGACTGCATTTCCTGGTGTTGCTCCACTACCCTACGGATTAGACCTTCAGATCAACGGCTCCGGGTGTGGTCTTCCCTAAAAAAACCACCTGCTTCAGTTTGGGCACCCAGTTAGTATCCTAGACCTCACTCAAGTCGAATGATTTATGTGGCACATATCTGTTTGGTACCACATTGCACCAATGTTTGTGTCTGAATAAATAATAATAAATAAAATTGTGGAGATTTTGAAAGTTAGTGCTTTTCATGGTGGATTACGGGTCTTTCTATTACAACCTAAGCTCTTTTTATGGTGCTGAAACTTCATGTTTGTTCATTTGTCATTCGGTCTGTAGATGAATAACGATTAGAGCCTTATGTATTTCAAAACTTTTCATAGATTATTTTTTTTAATAAATGGCTTTGTCATTGCTGTTGAAATGCTTTGAATTGTTCAGGCATTTTCACTTTTTCTCCAGATGGTAACTATTGTTAGCTAAAAGTCCTCTCAACCCCATTACTTGTTTACTGAAATCAGTCTCAGTGCTGTTTTTTTAGGATATCTTCTAACCCTGTAATATTTTTAAAGCTTGTCTTTTATATTTGTACGTTCAGCTACTGCATGCCTAAGCTAAATATTCTAATATTTCAAATGTCTGAATTTAGCCTATACTACTCATCTTAACATTACTGTTGCTCATGTATGTTTATACTTTAGACCATGACCGGTGTTATATGGCTTCCAATTACAACCACTGCTTTAAGATATTAATGTTTAAACAACTAGATACCATCTCTTGGAAACACTTGATAATTACGAGTTAAATCCTAGTATACAGACCTGCATGTGGTCTTGAGGTATCATCCTGTTCCTGCCCCAAGTGTAGCTTATTATATTAATCATTTTATGATTTTTCGTGTTACGTTTTGAGTTCACAGAATCCTCCCCTTATTTCGACTGCTTTTACAAACCCCCTTTTACGTTGTTAGAAGTTTAGTACACAAATTTTTAATCTTATGTCTTTTGTGGATCCAACTGGGTTTTTAACTAAGAATTCCTTACTTACGTGGATAAGCTGGAACTGGGATAATTTGAGATCGTTTTCTTCCATCCAGAAATAATTAGTTGTAAAAATATTCAAAACTTGTCTCAGATGCTTGGTATCTCAGTTATATCTGTGATAATGATGATTGTTAATTGGATATGTATTAATATCCTATCTTCTGTGTTGTAGTACCTGAATATAAAAGTACTTGGTTGGTTAATAGTTAATTTCTTTGAAGTTCATAAACGGTACTAGTTTTTTTAACTCATTACAAATCTATCTATTTATCCATCTATACGCGTTTGTTCATGATTAAAGTTTATGCCTTAAGGGGTCATATCTCTTCTAGTTTTGATCTTATTAAGTTTTATATAATTGTACTTCTCTTATTTTTAAAGAATGTACGCAACATCCTAATAGACGACATTCAAACTGGAGTTAAGCAATGGCAAAAAGATCACTTTCACAAAAGTTCGTTACCTCCGCAGACATTGAAAGAAACAAAACAATTTGAACAAGATTTTGAATTAGCCCAGAAACAATGGTCCAAACGTTTGAAAAAAGTTCACACTACTAAAAAGGAGTATTATCAAGCTTGCAAGACAGAACGTTCACTTCAAGTTCAGGTTCGGAATGCTAAGAGTGACCCAAGTGGTACTGCTGAGCAGGTAATGTATATATTTTTGCAAGTCAGCTATATTGTTTTTAAATGTTTAATTTCACACTTTTTTGTGCTATGTATTTTAATTGTTTTAATATCCCCACCATGTTTAAAGACTAACATATGAACGAAAAATATTATTTTCGATAAATTCTTTCCAGGTTCTACAATCATATATCCAAATTAATAATTCGAAAAATGGCCAGGCTTAGGGCAAAGTGGATGGTTTAAAGTTAAAGCATGTGAATTTAAGATTGCCAAACAAAACAGAATAAAATTGTTAATGTCAATATGATAGAATGTTAACTAGAATCAGCTTATATGTTAAGTGAAAATTTTAAATTCGATCAAATGTTTAGTGGAAGATCATATTGTAGAGAAAGTTTGACATAAGGTGGGATGAATGCTAAGCAAATAAATCATGTATTGGGGAGATCAATAAGGATGTTTTACCAATATTAATGATAATAATAATACGAAGATTTGTGAATAAAGATAACAGACAACTAAATTTGACTACGAAAGGTCGTAAGTACAATAATCAAACTAGGTCACTCGATAGCTAAGATTATTTTTGATTAACTGACCTTGAAGTTGACCAGGGGATGGGAAGCGGTTTAAGATATTTCTTTTGTATGCATAGCTCCGGTTTCTTAATCCGGATGGCTACTGCTTCAGCTGTTTGAAGGACTTTAATTCTGACAAACTTTGGCAAAAAATTACTGATCCGATAACTAATTGAAAGGGATTAGTTTATACTGGCGCTATAACCAGTTCTCACTAAATGGGCCAATATCGAGCTGTTCACTTTCTTCACCAGACCTTTGCTTAGCCACCCTGTAAGGTGTTCGCGAGCACAAAAATGTAACTTCCTAGAACTTCCATCAACATAACTTGCTCCACAGGAACAGTCGAACCGATAAATACAAAATGAGGTGATTCATCTTTTAGCCTTGTTGTCAACATTGAGTGCGTAGGAAACACTAATCATAGTTCTCTGGCGTTGAAAGTTTTTTTCGGTTGTTCTGCGTAATCTTTGAGTTGGTATTTCGCTATCCGCATCTCCTCTGAATTGTAGGCGCATGATTTCTTATTCACTGTTTGTATTTCGCCTATTCTCACCGTGATCAAATATTTAATTGTAAACTTTCTAGTTTATCCGTTCTCTCTAAAGGTATTACGCGAAGTGTTTAGCTCTTCAACTATATACGTAGAACATATAGTGTGTACTCGGTAACTAGGAGTTTTGACCAGGTGTCTTTTGTACTGTAGAGGTACAGAGTTAAGGAAATGTGTGTACTGCTCTGTCCAGGTATTTTTCTGTTTAAATTCCTTTTTGATGATCCATCCGCTCTCTTAGTTAAGAGAACGTCCGTAAAGGCTATTCTACTATCACTCTCTTATTCAGATGTAAACTCAATGGCTGGATGTACTTCATTAAACTGCCTAAGAACCTCTTGCTGTGATGTACTATCTTTACAGAGGATGAACGTATTATCCATATATCGGCAATAAAATGTGAATTTTTGAATAATCTTTTTGAGTGGACCGTTTTCTAGTTTGACTAGAAAAATGTCAGCTAATATAGGGTCCAATAGTAAACCAATTGCAGTACCATCTGTTTGTTTATAGATTTCTCCATTGAACTTCGAATTTACATTCATTGTGGATTTCAGTAATAACTCTTACGGCTTTGATAGGGACTGTAGTTTCAATTTTATTTTCACTCAGTTGTTCACATATATATTCTACGGTCTCTATGAGTGGAACATTTGTGAATAATGATGTTATATCCAAGGACATCATCTTTATTTTCAAAGTACTTGCATTTTTGATCTTTTCAACAAATTGCAAGATATCCTTATGTTTTTCAAGTTTTTCGTGGAGAATTTTCTATATAGTTACCAACCATTTAGCTATAGTATAATATAATAAAGAGAGTTATACATATCTAAAATTGGTCTTAATGGAATCCCTGATTTGTGTACTTTTGGCAGTTCATACAATCTTGGTTGATAGGTTCCCACTGGTTTAATCATTTCACATAAACCTGACGAAATAATCTATTGGTCCCTGAGCTTCAAAGATCTGGTTGGCTCATTCTCTATCTTATTATTGAAATCCTTCTGGCCAGTTATTTTTTGAAATTTCAGTTTGTCATCTAAGATGATACCCATTTTGTCAATATAATCACTTTTATTAAGAAGAATAGTTCCTGAACATTTGTCAGATTTCGTCATCAGTAATGTTTCATCCTTTTGAAGCAAGTTAATAGCTTCCTTGAATTTATTGTTCGTATACTGGCGACATCAGTCTACAATAGTTGATTTAAAATGTTCTAATTGTTGATCAGAATTTGCAACTGAATCTTTTATTTGACTATATAGATTGTCGAACTTTGTATCTGTATCAATGTGTTTACAGTGATTACGAGTATCACAGAATTTCAGACAAGGATAATACTTCTAGTTTTCCTTTATCTAGTTCAACACTTGAGAAGTTGTGCACATACCTTTTAGAGTCGGTTGAAAATTCGCTTTCAGTTGTTTTATTTCTCAGACCACATGCTTTAACTTTAAACCATCCACTTTGCCCTAAACCTGGTCATTTTTTAGATTATTAATTTGGATATATAATTGTAGAACTTAAAGAGAATTTATCGAAAGGAATATTCTTCGTTCGAGTATTAGTCTTTGTCATGCATTTATTTAACTATATTTATCCTTGTCTTTTTTCATCAGTTCTTAAATTTTATTTTAATCATACTCAAACGATGAGGTAGTTTGATTCAGGTTCATATAGTCAAATATGAGAGATATATCATCAAGACTATTAGCATTAACTTGTAATCGAAACCCTTGGATAAAACGAGGTTGGAATTCTTAAATTCATGGCTGAAAGTCTAATTTTTAAGTTATTGAGTCAATTGCTGTATGCTGATTTTACTCACCAGTTTGTGTAGTAATTATCTGATGCACTAAATCACTGTGAACAATATAAATTAGTTATGAAATTGCTGAAATGACGATCATCTATATAACCTGAAAAATTTCGAGATTGTGATAGTCAGTTAGTGTTTTAGGTAATGCAAACGTTTAAAGAAAGAAATATCTAATGATTAAAATTTTTCTACTCATAATTTGAAGACAAGGGTATTGAGATAGCACACAACTTAATGCCATTTAGGTGGTTATCAGATATTCCAAAAGTATTTTAACGATATTGTTTCATCTTTTGCTCGTTAAACATGCTTGTTCCCGTAGATTATTTTGGCTATTTTCGTCTAAATAATTTATCTACGAGAAACAAGAGAGATGCGGATTAAAAAAATTAATTAATCGAATAATAATAACTTGTAATATTCCATTTTGAATTTTCATTAATTTTACATTTCTTTTTATTTCTTTTTATTACTGTTACTCATCTCGCATCAGTTTAGTATTCTCATATCTTTAAACATGCTAAAATTGTAACCAGAAGTAATAAAAAACAATACCAGTTGAAAAAGTCAAATATTTTTTCGATAAATAATCTTCATCCTTGTACACCATAAAATGATTCTTATTGTTGTATGTTAATAACACTACGACTGTCACTACCAGTGTTTTGAATTTTCCCTGTTGTTTATCACATGATAAGGCCGCCAATCAGAACACCGGCTTGTACGACCGTGACCCTGTGCCAAACCAATGACGCGTTAACCAGCAGAGCAGCCTAGGGTCAACTCTGAGTTCTTATTGGTTCTCCTTCTTCAGCCCTGCCCGATTTTGTCCAGAACATAATGTTAGCTCCCATTATGAATCATGCGTTTCAGACATACAGTTTGTATACAAACAAACCAGACCGCATCACACCGTAAAATAAAAAATAAAAATTATACAAGATCAAACCAAAAGTGACTATAAGTGTGAGAGACTGTCACTAATAAATCGAGGAATAAGTTAAGAATGGTAAATCGTATCGTAATAACCAATCGGTCAAGTTGAAAGGATTATATATATACAGTCTAGTTACTTAATAATTATCCAACAAGAATATGTGTAATGATGGCTACAAATAATTTCTAGCTGTGATCATTCATTTATTCTTCGTTAGGATATAACAACCAGGAGTTTCAAATCTTTTGGAATTAATTTCGTTCACGAATAAGTACAATTATCTCACTTCATTATACATAGACTAAATTCGAAGCTAACGAAAGAAGTCCGGCATCATTTACAGGAGTAATCGAAGTGACTTAAAAAACACAGCATTAGACAAAGTGGAAATCTTTTCTACCCACACATGAAAGAAAGTTAACAGCTGAACAAAAGGTCAATTAGTTTCTAATTCAAATAATAATAGTACCGTAAACTCACATAACAAAGTTTTCGAAGACAAACGAATACAAGTGAGGTCACCCAAACTCACGTACGTAATAATTATGGAGACATTTTATCTAAAAGAAATTGTTTCTGAAAATAGCTTATGAGTTATTTCATTCAGTCAGCTGCACAAATTCAATTACGCGCCATATTTTAGTACTCATCCAGTCTTTTGCAGAAAGTATGCTTATGCATGACCACCAGTTTTAAGGGTAATTAGTTTCCTGAGAATTTCAAACTTTCTTAGAATCGCAGTTTTTCGATCGGAATTGCAAATCTTGCTTTTTAGTCAACTGTTATTTCCTAGTGACAAACTGTTGCACGGCCACTAAGATGACATTTATGAAATGAAATAATTGAAAGCTTTGTGAACTTCATCGGTTTAATTACAAAATAATATATTTCTCCACCATGTTTGATCATTAATTGTAAATAACAAGCCTGTCTTTATATAGTGGTACAGTTTCAAGAATTAAACCACCGAATTACGATATATTCTATGAATTACTTTCTTTTGTTTAATCTTTTCTAACCATAAGATTTCGAACCATACTTAAACTAAGCATAGACAGTATTACCGAGAATAGTAGCTTTCTAACCCAATCATCAAGTTGAAAAGGGGTAGCACAATATAGTGATAACATAAGATAGACTTGTCTATTCATTACGAATACTTTCTACATTGCGTGGTTATGCATTTTTTTTAACATTATACTTTCCAACATCTTAATTTTTATTCGATGCACAATTAAATCGATTCGTAGGTGTAACGACTTGATAACTATAATCATTTTGTTTTTTATTATATAATCAAAAAATAATCTTAAAGAGAACTGCTGTAGTAAGTTTATTTGTTTTTGCTATATTGGTAGGAAGATGATAAAAAAGTGAGTTAGCTATTAATGTATGGTTTTTCGTATGGTATAATTACTATCTTCGTTGCTATTATTCATTTCTCTTTACTTTGTTTAAATGTATGATTTTTCTACCTCTGATTTACTATGCCATATAAATTGGTTATTGTTTATTTTTGTATTTATTTTTGCTAATTATCTTAGTTTATCATTTTATGAGTGAATTTAATTCAATAATCTGATACAAGTATTCAAACATTTCACTTGTTAAACTCTTCTGTAGTACAAGATAGAAGCACCTACAGAATACAAATTATAAATATTAAGTTATTAGTTAAATGAGCTTTTCGTAGGTGCTTCCTTATTTTGTCCTCATTTTACATCCAAATATAAATGTCTAACAGATTTATTAAATTCTGAGTTATTTCGTTCATGTAGTAGTTAACATATTTGTTGCATAAACTAGTTCGCTAGTAAGTTTATCAAAAATTTATTTGAAGGAATCACTAAAAAACTAAAGGACATTAAATAGTGACTTCGTTTTAGTTTGAAACTACTCAAACCATCCAGCTCAGAGAACAAAACTCCACCACAAACTACTTAATAGTCTGCACTCATGAATATATACACTTAGTGGAACCCAGGATCTTTAGTTTTTACGACTAGCATGATACATTTAGACCACTGGTCACTAAATCCATTTGTTTACATTTGAATGTTGTGGCATACTCACTTAATATTATCAGTGAGTTACACGAGTCACGTTCTTTACTCAACAACTCATGACTTCTTATCGTAGCCTAAGGATATTCATTTTGATACTAGCCAATTAATAAACACGACATTTCGATTTAAACCATTTTTTTTATAAATTTTTGTATATTTTTAAAGTAATTCACATTACAATCTTAAGCTGAAAATCAGTGAATGCAGAAGACCACTGTACAGCTGTTTATTTATCAGATCACGGTTTTTTGGTTACTCTTATTTACTTTTATATTTAATTATGGATGAAGTGTGTTAATATCTTGTAAATACTACCTCTTCGCTTCGCCAAATTTCTGTTTATATTGTGGTGACTCGATAAGTGGACATTAGATGTACGTTGATGAATTCATTAGTTTTTTCCTAAAATAATATGTAATTTTTCTCTGATTATGACAAACTGTTAATCCGATTAAGAAATACTGATTCATTTTGTTCTGTCTTATGTGGATAAAATATGATTATTTTAGTATGTGCAAGATTTTCTTTTGTTTCATTGTGTAATTTTATGCCAGCTTATTTCTTGTTCTGTTTTAAAAGGAATTTTCAACTATTTATGATTTAAGCGTTCTAAGGTGCTTTTGACTTCACACGTCAGCACTAATTAGTTTCTATAAGATGAATTATATTTATTTTTAATATTGGTTCTTAGCTAATTAGGCATTCATACAAGGGGACTGAACGTATGTTAATTCAGTAAACTACTATTGTCATAACATGGAAATAGTCGAAATAGCAGGTATGATGGTCAGAATTTAGCTTGATTTAGTTTATAACAAAAGGACCTAGTCAGGTAATTGGCATTATGTAATGCAAATATTTACTGGCCTTTGAAATATGTACTGAGAATAAACCCAAGTATATGAAGCAGTGGACTGTCCTTTAATGAAGTTAGTAATATGATTTTAATGATCTGGAGGCTTATTTTCCGAATCCGGACGAAGTTTGGTTTTTGAATTGACAATTATTTAACTTATATTGACCTGGGAATTTTTTGTTTCGTTGCTTAAATGTGAGCTGCACTGATTTGTCCTCATGTCTGTATCTTCCTTAAAGTCTGATTACTTTGGCAGTCTACTGCATGATAATCAATATGCCCTCGCAATAAACTGAAGTGTAAGAGTCGCATTCATAAAAAACACATGACTGCAATAGGCTGTAAGTTAATGACCTTCAGATAATATTTCTTTGGGGAATTCGAATCAACTGAATTCATCGCTCAAATATAGTAAATATAAGTTCTAGAAACCGTTCTTCACAAATTGGGCGTGACAGTTAGGAGGTTCATCGATAAATATATGTACGTATGTGAACACCATTTACTACTTCCATGTTATGTATTTTCAGTACACGGTAAAATTGTCTGGCATTTGAGTTGAACACTTCTTGAATCGTCTCTTATTATTAAGCTGGCAGTTATAAAACATTTAAGCTTTCTGGGATCTCTGTTTGGCATTTAATCCCGAATAAAAGAGCCGTGTTATAGACTGACTGCAATTTTCATTGTAACAGTTTAGCAGTTCGGTCATGGTGATCTATTGTTTTGAAGCTTTTTAGTTTGTTCAGTTGTGGTTGTTGTCTAGTTTCTTTTTTAGGAGGTAGAGTCTGAAAACATTCACTTTGACTGAAATATTAGTTTATAGGGCACATATTGTTTTTGGTTATAGACTACCAAGTAAACAGATCAAATGCACAAAAAATCTTCAACGTTTCACGCTCTGTAAATACTTATTTCCCTTATTAGCATACTTTTCAAGTCTTTTCATTTTGCTTCATTTGGACTACTTGCCAATTTTTTGGGTGTGTGATTGTTTGTTCATCAATATTTTATGTTTAAACATATAGTTATTTCCAGATACTAATGTATTTACACCTAACATGTTATGAATGATAACCTATTTCTGTAGAGCAAATTATATATATATCTTCTATCCCATTGATTAGTCATTCGTATTATCTTGTTTTTGTTTTCTTCTGTCTGCTTTTGATAAGCCGAATCGTTAGGTATCAATTAAAGTTGTTTATTTAAAGGTAATGTGGTTGGTGTATAGTTAGGCACAGAATCTTTCCTTAACATTCAACTACGTGCGGATTTTCTGTGCAGGAGGTGTATTTTCCTATACTACAGTTCATGTTCAGTAGTACTTTATATTTTACGATAATAATTCTCTCTCTCTCTCTCTCTCTATATATATATATATATATATATATATATATATATATATATATATATATATATATATATAGCATAGGGATAGTTGAAAAGTTTTGTCGTCAGAAACGGACCATACTGGAACCTACAAACGTTCATTTCTGCATACTACCACTAATTCCATTATTTAACAGCGTTGAAATTATGCTTTCTATGGCGTTTTTTGGCTCCTGTCCTAATTTCATGTTTTAAACTAGCTGGTTGCTTAATTTGGAAGTCCATGTGAGGCTAGTTTACATAGCTTTCAGTTGTTGCCTCCATTTAAATTATTTTTAGATAAGATTAATGCAATTGTGGAAGAAGTGATAACCATAGTTTTGTGGAGACGACAAAATGCTCAGCAGCCAGCAAGCAGTTCCTAACGAATCATAGAGCAATGTCTGTCAAAATAACTGTTGCAACTCTTTGAAGTCGATTTTCAAGATCTTTTTCTCGAATGTAACTTAGTAAAATCCTACGGAAATGGATTGAGAACAGGGACTTTTTTTGCCTTATCGAACGATAGTGTAGTGGTACGAGTAACATCTGTCACTATATGATCGACTTCTGAACTGATCATACTTGTATTATTTTATAAATTAACATGTATATCTATACATATATACGCTTCTGAATTAACCTACAATATATAAAGATGTATAGTATATCTAGATTCTCTTTTAGATTTTGTCATGCTATATAGAAAGGCGTTAGTTGTAGCGCTAGGCATAAATTAGAACATTTTGGTTACATTATAGTTTCCAATAAAAATGTTAATTAACTAGCACAACACCAATTTTTTAAAACGCTTGAGAAAATTAAATATAAAAGTTCATGTGTTCTTAATGATGAAGTCATATGTTTTCAGATTTAAACTGAATATAGGTCTTAACTAGTAATGAGTATTGAGAATTATCTCCCAAACAACTGCTATGAGCTCTGGATATCTAGCTTGATTTATTTTAACTATCTTGTTATATTTCATATACATGTATAAATATTCTATTATACATCATGAAAACTCCAATTAATCGCACTTAATTTACTTATTTATTCTGGTGGAGTTTTGTTCTATGAGCTGGACGGTTTGGTCGTGGAGCTTTCATCGTTCTTCTGAACGACATCATCAGCACAAACTTCACTTCTATTTGAAGTTTGTGATGATGTCGTTCAGAAGAATGATGAAAGCTCCACGACCAAACCATCCAGCTCAGAGAACAAAACTCCACCAAAATCATCCACCTGAGCTACAAATCTCCATTTATTTATTCATATGCATTGATATTATTGCCAAGTTGCTACCGAATTATGAAACGAAATAAACTAACGTATTTCTACATATTTAGTGTAGAGAATTTGTTATTTCTATGAATTATTATTCTTTTTTAAACAACTATAAATCGTTTTTAAATGATATAGTGTGTGTAGTTTGCGGTGTTAGTCACTGATTCATTTGTTTTACCATACCAATCATTATACAGTTTCAGAAGGTTGGCTGTCATTATTCCATTTTGTTTCTTATTTGTGTTCTAAAGTGTAATTTGATTTGCTTGATTCAGTGCACTTTTTAATTATCATTAGTTCACTGATGAAATATGAAATCTAAATAATCAGTGATCTTTTCATTGATGTTTGTTATTAATCGATGTATGTCAAAACATTGCCTCTAGTTTGATAAATGTGTTACTTAAAATATAAGCTTTATAATTTTTCTTTTGTTTAACATCAATGTGATAAATTCTGCAAGCCAAATATCTTAAAGAATTATCAACTTTTTCCCACTCTCGAAATTCTGTCGGAAAATGCTGCTATCATTAAAAAATCTAACATAGACTGGTATTCATTTGTTTAAAAAAAGTTCACTTTTTGTGATTCAGCTGGGAAAATTATCCTTAATATCGATTATTCAGAGCTCTAAATCCATGAATCTACTGACAATATTCAGTTCCTTTGTAAAGTTAACTGATTTCTTTTAAAATTCTTATAGCTTAAGAAAACACAAGAAAAATTAGCTAAAGCGGAAAAAGATGTTTATCGAACTCGTGATGCATACAAAATGGCATTGGCTGATTTAAATACAGAAAGTTCACGATATGTTGAAGAAATGACCAAAGTAAGTAGTTAACTGAAAATCAATTCTGTTTTCTTTTTAAATTTTCATAATCGAGTCTATATTATCTACAAATAAAATAATTGTTTAATTGTTGTTTTTATGTTTGTTAATATTGAGTTACTTGTAGATGGGTTGTTTTAATTGTGCTTCATTGTTTCTTTTTGTTCGATTCATTTCCTTACGTATTTTAAAACGCTTATTTTGTTGTTAGATAGATAATATCTATCTTGAAATGGATCTTTATTTTTGAATTCTCTCTTACCAAGCGAATAAACTGGATTTGTGGATGTGAAGAGTACACCTAGATTAGTTAAAAAAACACTGATTCTCAATCTTCTTTAGTTATGTACTGGTTACTGTGGGGTTACATCTGATATTGCTCCACTATTATGTCAAAAGCTTGGGGTGTGACCGTCTAGGAAAATTACCTGCTCCGGTTTTATTTCATCAAAACATTATCATCCTGTTTTGTGTGACCCATTCTTTCACTACCCTGTTGTTCCAAAATTTTTGTTTGGTATGAGTAAAGAAATATTATGCCTATGGAAGATATATATAACACATTAGAGATATCCATTCTCCTGACGACAATTTGTGGCTTCTTAACATCCTACGATTGTTCTACAATCACAACTATGTTTATTTGTAAGATCATCTGATCCCGATTGATAAATTTATCACTCAGTAGGTCAGTGCCATCAATTCAAACATTAATATCTACTGGATGACGTATAGAATCACCTACTAGGTTATGGACTTCATCCATTGTCGATATCCGACTGTGTGTAGACCAGTTTCAATCGTTAATATTCACTTGATAAGGATTGTGATTTTAAATTAACAAACCACAGCTATATATTATATTACATAAACGTAATAAAATTTATGATATCTGTTAAGACACTGTATTGGCATTCTATAACCAAACTTCTCTGTTTTGTCAGGTATGTTTTCTCTGACGTTTGTTTTGTATAAACAGTGTTATTATTTTACCATATATTGACATTAGGTTTTTTTTGTCATTTTACTGGCTCTTTGTTACACATTGATTAAGTGCTTATTACTTTTTAACAATTTACATTATCATATTGGTTGTCAAATGACAGCTATGCAACCAATGGTTTAAAGGTTCATGCATAAAAGTTATATTTTATAAACTTAAACATCTTAGATCATTTTCGAAAGCATATAGTCATTGTAAATTATGAATCACCGAAATATATATATTTATATATTACGAACGCACTATAAAATAGTCATCTCTGGGTAAGGGAAAATCGATCAGCACTTTGAAAAAACTAATCATTCTACTTATTCATTTTGCTTCCACATTTACTAGAGCGAATAGAATTTTTTTGTAAAACTGCTATTAAAACGGTCTCGTATGGGATATGAAGTGATATATGCTTAAAATTCTGTTAGATATATAAAAATAAAGTACTTGAGTTAGTAACTAAAATAATTTGGTGTAAATATCGGATAATAACGACTAAGTTACTCACTATTTTTTTGTTTGATTAGACTGACTAATGATAATTCTAGGTAGGTGTATCGGTACACACACCCAGTAGATTGCACTAATAATGGGGAATTTCAATTGGATGGAATTATCTCGTTTTTCTTAACTTAAAAATAAACTCATAATTACTTTATAAAAAAATTAGTGTTCGAGTCGTAAAAATATTTTTATTCTGTTTAAAGATCTGACATGATTTCTCATAGTTTTTTTTTCAACTGATAGGAAATTTGTAAGTCAGCAATATTCTCCACAAAGTCAAATAAAAATAACCACTGTTAGGCTCTAAGGTTGATCTTAGTGAGTTCTATTCCATGTACATTGAGTGAACATCAAAAGACACTTGTGTAAAGTAATATTTATTTGGAGAACATAGAAAATATGCTCTTGTTAATACTATCTTATGTTCTTGGGATGAAAGGGAATTTCATGCATAGTACAAATGGAAATACTACAATACTCGCAGCCTAAAACGCTATTTTAAACCTGATCTATTTTAGTCCCCTCTTTTAAGTAGGTTCTGATGTGTAGTACCTGTGAATTTAATTTTATAGAATTCGGGTTGACCTAAATAAGAAAGTTATTAGCAAATACAATAAATCAATAATGCTATTTTATTAAAGTTTTGTTGCTTTAATTTATTTTCCCTGGAAGGAGTTTAATCTAAAAATATGATATTACTAGTTTACACAAAGCATTATAAATTTTATGGTTTACCAAACTGCTTCTCATTTTTGTATCCATTCATTGTATTGTGACCACTGATCTATTGTTGTGTCCGAAGAGGATTGAATTATGGGTAACTTCCGGGAACTATTTATATTTTAATTTAAAAAGATAGTATAAAATAGTGATCACCGTAAAGTATGTTTGATATTATTGATCTAATAATAATGTACAAAAGTCGCGACTTCAACTTAAATTTGAACAACATCTGTGTAAATCATAGAAACTTTATCATTTTGAACATTACTGAAATAAATTGGAAATGTTTGAAAAATCAAACATCTCTATCTTAGTGGTTTTATCCTGATTTAGGACTATTGAATAGTTTGCACCCATGACCACATACATTTGGTTGAACCCAGCATCTGAAGATCTTGTGACAAACGTGATACCTGTAAACCATTTAAATCGTACTCCAACGGCCTACATTTTCAACTTCCGTTGATTGTAGATCTGGATGAATTCGTATCCAACATCATTGATAAGTTACTATCCCCTAGTTTGGCCGATTCCATGTGCCACAGTCGATCAGCCGTAACGTAAAACCTGGCACATATGCACATCAGTTCAAGTTACCATACTCCATTATCAAAGATGTGAAATTGTCATGTCAAACTCCGACATAGTAGAAGTAATAACAATATGAATGGTGGTAGAAAAGATTAGGCATCAAATTCACGCTTCCAGAAAATATAAATTAGTGAGGTAAAAACACAAAAAAGATTCTGGAGAATCCAGAAACCCAGAATTTAGGGGGAGATAAAGGATGGATGCATCTGCATAATTCCAAGCTATTTAGAGCCACATGATTCTTCGCCATAGTTTGGTTACCATATTGAAACAGTCTCTCAGTAGATAGTGTTCGATTTTCATCCAGTAAGTCGTAGGGTCGAACTCCATTCCACATACTCCTGTTTGAGCAAATAAGTACTATCATTAACCTTTACACTTGAAATGTGACTCAAAGCTTAGTTGATGAATTTTCATATGATAAACGACTTAGTTTAAAGAGAACACCAATAATCCATTTCTGTACGCCTCTATTAGGTATCTGGCTACAGTTTAAACAAGTGTTTAGCTACTACATAATATTACTATAATATGAAATAATAATATATTAGCGGCCTATTCATATTGCTATTTTTTCATTTATGTGTGCATTTATTACATAGGTCAGTATCTTTACTTTATGAATGTTTCAACCCTCTAGAACATATCCGGTAAACTGAGATGAATAAAAAACTCTTTCGTACTGAATAAATAAAATCGAACAATATTGCGAAAAATCCTTATTTTAAACTTTAAACGAATGTTCATTTTCCAGTTCCTTTTTTTCTGTAACCGGAAATCACTAATGATTAAAAGACTTAAATTTGTATACATCAATAAGTGTATAATGAAAACTTCTAAGTCTTCATAATTGTTTGTTTTTATCGTTGTTAACTTAGTTTAGGATACCCACATCCTGATCAGAATATTTCTGTTTATTGCGTTACAAATTTGTTGTTAGATAGTTGAAGGAAAACCACAGAGAACATAAACATAAGTTTGATGTTAGTTAAAGATTACTAGCAACATATATTGATCCTCGTGAAATTCCTACCCGTACCATAGTCAGAAACGTCACCTCTAAGCCATTTTAGCTGTCGATAAACATTTGTAGGGTTGAGATGCTTGTACTAATTGATCTCGTCTAATGAATGATAACTCTCACCGCCTTCAACCACAAGTATATTAAATGAAGCCATTATGATGGGAAGTTACTAAGCTAAGTGGGAACACATTAAGTTGATCGATACTATTCGATTTGAACTAAGGACCAGATAATACAGCATTCGTTATTACTTAGTGATCAGATATTGTATAGAGTCACAAGTTTCGATGCTTTTTGTACTGCACATATAACATTGTTTAAATGTGTTTTCTTTTTAACAATAAAAACAAGCATAACAATAATAGCTAAAGAATTTTAATAACGATAATATATATGCTAATTTTTTTATTAGGACAAGAATCCATTTTCTTATGATGATTTAATATTCTATAATTCAACTATTTCTTTTGTCTACTTTACCTTTTATAGTTTTTATTTCTTTTGCTTTCTTTTTTAAGGTATTTAATCGAACACAGGATTTTGAACGTGAACGTCTTAGTTTTTTTAAAGATATATTTAACAGTCTACATGGTGCTCTTAATGTTTGTGCGAAAGTTGAGTAGGTTTTCCCAGTGTATTTAATGATAAATTTAATAATAGTAGAATTCTAATGTTAAAAATTCATTCATTAATGTTATAACAGGGTTTGATGGATAATGACAACAAGATAAATTGTTTCATGTTCATGAGATTGGATAATATTCAATAGTTATATGATTGACTGGACGTTTGATTAGTGGTAGTACTTATCATACTTCGCCCTTAAATTACTTTATCATGAATTTAAAATTTGCTATTTTTGTTATTTAGCTTACATTGCGATTCATTTATCAAGGTAAGGTTTATTTTATCAGGTTTGAAGGTACATTGAAAGCTCAGAATACTAAATAACCGCATAAACCAGATTAGATAAAATCGGGTTAATACCTATGACTTGTTCATTGGAAGCCCAATGTTTTTAACTACTAAGAGAACCCACTACAATGTACTTCGGTTTGGGTTTCCATATACTTACCTTTTTTGGTCTATCACCGTTCTTCAGGCATAGGTCACTGGCCAGAGATCTCCAACCAGCTTTGTACTGGGTTCTCTTTTCTAGTTGTTGACAAGTGCCATTCATCGTCTTAATGTTCGTGTCCAAGTCCTGGCTCCGTGTGGTTTTGGTCTGCCTCTTTTCGTTTTGTCTTGAGGATTCCAAGTTATGGCTTGCCTTGTGATTCGATTTGGTGGTTTCCGTAGTGTATCCTATTCACCTCGAGCGTCTTTTCCTAATTGCCTCCTCACTTGGTAACTTATATTTTCTCTGCCAGATTAGGTTATTGCTGATGGTCTTTGGTCAGTTGATCTTCAGTATTTTGGGTAGACAACTGTTTGTAAATACTTATACTTTTTCAGTGGTGGTGGTATTAATTTCCTAAGTTTCAGCACGGAACAGTAGACCTGCTTGAACGTTTATGTTGACAATCCTAACTTCTGTCTTAGATTACAATTCTTTTGACTTTCGGATATTCTTCATGTGTAGGAATGTTGTTCTTGCCTTGGCACTTTGTGCCTTCATATTTAGATCAGACTCTCTTTGTTTATCAATGATGCTGCCCAAGTACGTGAAGGTTTTCAGGGCTTCACCAATAAATGTAATTTGGTTGGTGCCCAATGTGTTATACTCCAGGATCTTTCCTTTTCCTTTGCGAATGTTGACTCCTACTTCTGCGGGAGCCACTGCTATATTGACTGTTTTCATCTGCATTTGTTTTGTATGTATAGAGGGGAAAAGGCATCTCAAAATCATCAAGCGTGTTCACTGTGTTCCGTGCTCTTCCTGCAGGTCCTCATAATCCAGTCAACAACCAGAAGAGAGAGAAAACGAGATAGTAGGTAGCCTTGTCTGACTCTATTCCTCAGTCGAAATGCATCTGTTAACGCTCCCCTTCATGTTAGACTTTACTATTCAGTCCCAGGTCGGAGTTCTGTGTGATGGTAACGACGTCTTTAGGCGCTCCAAAGTGTAAGAAGATTCCGTAAGGTTTTCCCATCTACTCTGTTAAATTCTTTCTTCTAGCCAAGGAATTCGCTGTATGTTGATGCATTGTCGCGATTTAGTCTGTCCGTTATCGATTCTTAAAAAATTTAGCTTGTTGATCCTGAGGTCGGGCGTCAACAGTGCTGGTTAAACTGTCCTTAGCATTCAGAATGGTGTAGTTACTCTGTAGTTCTCACACTCAGATCTTTTGTATCTAATGAGGTACCTTTATTTCCAGTCTGTTGGTGTTTGTTCTTCCTCTCAGATCTTTCTGAGTAGAACATGGAATGTCATTATTTTTACATCTGTGTTTGACTTCAGTGCTTCATTTGGTCCTGCTGCTCCGACACTCTTAAAACATACGATTACCTGGGTGATTTCTCTTGTTGGTGGTGGTCCATCATCGATTGGAAAGTTTGTGTGCATTGCTTCGATGTCCGGTGAGTTCAGTTGGGCTGGTCTATTCAAAAGCTCACTGAAGTGTTTTAGTCACCTCTTTCGCTCCTCTTGAACCTCAGCAATTGGTTTTCTTTCTTATTGACTGTTTTTCCTGGCTTAATCGATTCACCTATCAACCTTCGTTGTATCATATGATTCTTTCATATTTCTTTCTTCTGCAGCTTGTTTTACTAGTTTCCACTCTTTCTACATATTTCTGCTTGTCAGCTGTGATGCTCTTTTTCTCTCGTTTGTTTTTGTGTATTCATAATGTGCCCTAGGTTTTTCTGCATTTTTCAGCTTCTTTTGACTGTTGTTTTCTTGTTTTCCAATTATTGAATCTTGCCTAAACTGTTTTCAGGGATTTAGTCGTTGTTTTGCCGCTCCTTTTTGAACCAGCACCTCTTGGGACGTCGAAACCATTGCTTCTCCAGTCCGTTTTTTATTAATACAGATGCGGTCGATATGGTTTTCTGTAATATGATTTAATGAAACCCATGTAGTTGTGCGTGTGCGTTTGTGAGGGAAAAGGTTGCCACCTGTAGCCATTTTGTGCAAAGTATATAGACCTACCTGTTTTTTCGCCATTCTTATTCCTTTTTCGCAGTCAGTATCTCATTATAATGCGTTTATGACCGTCGTCGTCCGTCTGGAGTTTCGAGTTCAGGTTCCCCACAAAGATAATCTAGTGTTTTCCTGAGCATTTCTCTACGATGGACTCCAGCTACTCATAAAGTTGATCTTTATCGTCTTCTCTTTTATGATTATTAGATGCCTAGAACTAGATGACTTTTATTGTAATCCTTTTTTGTTTGTTATGAAGGATGCTTTGATCCTGAATCCATGGGTTTCCTATCCTTCAAGTGCTTTTAGTGCCTTTTTGAACGGGATCAGTAAAATGTCTGTGTATGGTGGGTTGCATTCTCGATGACCAGAAAACAACCCCATTGAAGTTATTCTTCTTTTCCAGACTGTCCAATGAGTTTCACTTATTCCAAGCAGAGCGAAAGTATATCTTCTCAATTGTTTGGTTATTCGAATGACCCTCTCAGTTTCCTGCATTGTCCGGATATTCTGTGTACCTATATTAATTGTTGCTGTGCTAGTTATATGGGACATTAAATTCGTAGCTCCCTAAGAATCGCGGCTCTCACTTTTAGCTTTCATAACTCTTCTATATGAAGACTTTACACAATGTTTATAATTTTTTCTGGTTAGCGTTTTTTATCAAGGTCCTCTTACGAGATGAAGTTGATAGTCCTTCGCCTGAGCCTCCTTCATGCGGGCTTAGGACTTTAAGGAAACCTAGGGGGCTCCAGGTGGGTTTGGTGTTCTGTGTAGTTCTTACATAAACAGTTTGTTCAGAGTCAAATGATTGGCAGATGAGTTACAATGGATTAATTATTATATAATTTTATTCACTTATCTCAGTGACAACTTTGTAATCCTTTCCTACCATCTTTTTCCTGCACAGATTAACTTTTTCAATAGTTTTTAAAAAAGCGATTTACTCGTTGTTTAAGTTGCTGTCGACGAAGTTAATTTAAATTAATTAAACGATCTTTCCTTTTCACTTAGAGTTGTCTCGTTCTGAATTCTAACTTTTTCCTTCAGGACAATAATTGTGTGTTATACATTCCGTATTGTCCCTTACTTTGTCCATTTGTAGGGGATATGTTGCGAATTTTCCGCTATTTTAAATTGAATTGACTTCAAACAGTAAATTACTTGGAAAATAAATTCATGTATGTTTCGATAATTGGCACGAATATTCTATGTGCGTGAAGTTTTTGAAGTAGTTAGGTGTATAGTTACTTACTATTCAACCATAACTTAGTGCATATATAAAGTTTCACACGAATAATATCATTATTTTCTATACAGTGAGGTTCACATGTAGGCTAAGCCATGACAGTCATTTCAAGTAACAGAAAACTTGTTAAAGAAAATACATGAAACAATAGTAATAATAATAACAATATATTCTAATAATAATTACAGAGTGGATCAATTTTTACAAGCTTTATCAGATTGGTACAAAATTGGTGGAAAATTTGAAAATATGTGCTTCATAGATAATTTCAATCTAACGTTTGTCATAAAAATATTTCAAAGTTTAGTGAGTGCATAGAAAGGTTTTATACTTCATAATAATAGTAATATAACCGACTACAGTCGGCGATGCGCAAATATGATAGCAATCTAATCTACATATCGTAAGCTGGAATAAGAATAACTATTGGAGTTTCATATTTTACAATAGGAATTGTTTCCGGACAACCGAAGCATGATCTAGAAGTTGTTTAAAGCATGGATTGAAAATCGAAAATTTTGATTTTGTAAATTATTTGTTCAATTCTTCCCATATCGAAAATATCACTAAATCATTCTGGCTCTCTCTATTTAGAAAAAACTATGTAAGCTTTTACTAAGGGTCATTTTATGTTATTCTCACTACAGTATATTCCACAATAAAATGACAAACACAAATTCTTTTGACATAGTAATGAATGTATAAGTGTTTAGACGAAACCCGTTATGTATAAATGTATAGGTGTCCTTATGATTTCTATCATTTTTAGGTTTGTGTATTTCACTTAACTGCATTTTCTTACGTTCCATACCAAATCTGTAGCAGAATGATCTTTTTTTTTCTTGTTAAAAATATTTCTAGTTACGATTCTATCTACAGTCAGTTAGCAGAGAGTATTTCACAATGTGATGTTGAAGCAGACTTAAATTTGTGGTCGTCAAATCATGGAGTTGATATGCCTTTTATTTCCCCACAATTTGAAGTAAGAACTATTCAAAATAGTATCTTACTTTTTAGATTAATGTGAATTTATTCTTAATATATTCTTTGTTGATTGTTTAATTAATTAAATGTGATTAAAGGTACCTTTTTTGACGAGATCATTATGATGAAACATCTGTCCCATATATTCACTACACTGGAGTTCGTAAATTGATAACATTTTATTATCTCGACTGGATATCAATTGATACAGACTTGTGTTCTAAACTTAATCCAGCTATCTTTATCTACGAATCTATAGCTTTCAGGCTTTTTTTTAATTTACGGTTCATTGTCGAAAAATACCAGAAAATGTAATATACTGTTTAGTATTCCTCACTATTTTGTCGTGTGAAGCATAACTTAATTGACTGAACCTCAGAATACGACACTGAGTTATTGGTATGAATAACTTCAGTTTTACTAGCCTATTCCCATAATAAGTGTAACTCAAAGTGTGTTACAAAAACTTTTCTATCGAGAGTTTAGTAACTAAACTTCATTAATAAATGAACTGTAGTGAACAAGAACTCAGGTAGGAAAAACCAAATCACACAGTGGCTTAAAAAAATATGAAAATCACACACTAAACACATCATTTACACATCTTTTTTCCATGGTCCTTTACATACTGCATTATCACTTTTATTCTGTTGTTACTTTGATTCCTCTCCGATTTTCTTCCTGTTCTCTTTGTCCCAGTCTTCTGCTACTAAATGAGTGTTTCAAAGATTAAAACCAGTTGGTCATAATCACCCGTTAGGATCAGGCACGAGTATGCCTTGATGCAAGTTGTCACATCATACTAGTAAATGGAGGTGAATTTAACTAGTTCGGAGCTAGTTAGAATAATAGTAGTATTAATGATATTGAGAACGGCTAGGCATAAGGAACATGATTAGAAAAGAAAAAGTGAATTTCAAGGAATCAAAGTATAAAATAATATTGAAACTCAAGATCTAGGATATAATAAAAAGATCTATATGCATCTCTGTGTCTGATTTAAATATATATCACTTGAAGTATCTAATAATCGGTTACAATTATCACTCAGTGATCAACGAGGTAAATAATCTCCGCCTAATAACACAGTTCAAACCAGTAATCAGTGAGATTATATTGGATGGGATCATAATTAACAAATTCTGCAAACAATATTTATTGAATGATATTTGTCTTTTAAAAATAATTTTATCCCTTATAATCATCATCGGTATGGTGGATAATGAGAGTAACAATATTTTATTCAACCTACTTCAAGTGCATATTTCACTTTATCTTTTCAAGAAGATACACAAATTAATGTCGAATATTTTATTTCACATGGATATACGAATCTGGTGATTCTGACCTAGTATTCAGATGTAAAGCGATATATTGTTTACTCAAATGAGCAATACGCTTAAACCGTTGATGTGTATACTTATGTTCTACTGCATACATGTTGTGCTTCTATGCATCCACAGGCTGCTACAATAATGTATATTTACTATCTTTAATGTTCAGATGAGTACGCAAATATTTGTTCTCGTCCTGCTGTTATGAATTGTGCGATACAGATGATTGTTTTGTCATTCTTGTCTCTGATTATTTTCCAATAGATTTCCCTTTTATACCTTATTTACTATCGATTTTGTGTCAGAATCTCTCTTTACTTTCTAGATTTCTATCCCAAATTAGTAGTTGGAAAAAACTACTCTTTTCCCATCAATAATCGACTTTTTTGGGAAAATCGTTTTGCGTCAAATTCACGCAAATTGTAGCACGTGAACATCTGATTTACGTCAAAATATCTGATTTCTTCTGCCTTTTGGCAATATGTCTATCCTACTAATGTTAATAATATCAACATTTCCTTAAAATTAATAATGACCTTAAATATTCTACTGATTATACATGTCTAAATTTGAGTAGTGTATCTGTCAGTCTACCATTAACTTATTGTTTCATTGGTCAATTTTCTCTTTTTTTCCACCTTCTAATCCCTCATTATCATCAATAGCGATGTCAAGTTGTTGAATGTGAAATAAGTAAATGAAGATGAGAGCAGAATTATTAGATCATCATATAAAAGAAAATAACTAAATATGGATAGTTTATTTTGATTTTGGGTGATGTTGTCTCATTTTTAAAAAAATTACTTTCACTATCACGTACTAACTGTGTACTTTATTATTTCGTGTGCACATCAAGAAAACCGTGATTTTATTGTGAATAATAAATATAGATCTTTTTTAAATGGTTATCTTGTAAAGAGTTATTTAAAAACAATGCTCTTCAGTTTTTTTTCTCTCTCTCACAAATTATTTATATTACGTTAATCATAGTCTTTTATGCGTACATAATTCTGCATACAGTTAATATACAGATCTATACACTAGTCCTAATAATAATTGCATGCAAATGCAATAAATCAAACCAAAACTTATATGGTTAATCTACTGTCAAATAACGTTTAATGTATACTGTGTACCACTGGTATTTTATATGTAAGCTGACAGAAATCAATCATTCAGTTTAAGCTTAACCGTTGAAAATTAGATAGATTCTCTTTAAAAACATTATGATCTCTTATTTGTCTATGCTCAAAATGTCCATTAATATGTGTAAGTGGGTATCGTGTGATTTCATTTTCATAATCATTTTGTACATTTTTATATAAACGTTGTCTTAAGTGTTTCAGGATTTGTAGTTTTTAGTCGTTTAATCAGTTATTACTGATTACTGCTTGAAGTTCGCGTTTATTTTTATTAATCTTGCTAGTAGTAATGTTAATTACTAAATAAAAAGGTACTTGAATCGTGTCAATGATTGTGTAGCTTCTTCTACAGTTAGTATAATAAAGAAACAAAAGTGGTATGATTATAGTTGTGATTACATGTTAATCACTATGCAGTAATACGTGATATAGCTGAATGATGGTTACTTAAAAATATCAAACCAATGCTACAGATCTCCTAAATTAACGAAAATCACGAGGTTAATGAAATATCTTAATATAATAGCCAAATAGTGAACATTAGAAAATAAAATCAAGTCTGCTAAAAAATTTTGTATAAGATCCTTGTAGGTTATTTGGAGCCTCGTAAAATTAAAACTTTATTACTTCAACTTTTTTTGCCATTATCTAGTGGACTGTGAACGATCTTTGGTTATGAAGCGTTATGTACACGATTGATGGAGAATTTTCCATAAAACTATCATTCTTACAGTCAGTCAATCATAAGCGACATAAGACTTGAAACAATGGTACATTGGTCCAAGTCATCACATCATATCGGTAAAATGATAAGCAGTTAGCAAAATGAATAGCAAAAGAGTCTAAGTAATCAATCAACTGATCACTGAACGACTAATCAACATGTCATTGAAATTTTTATGATTGGCGATTTCGGTAGATATAACGTCCAATTTTATTCAAGGATTCATTTCTTGAAGTATAATTATTTCAATGTGTCATGCAGTTTCATTTTTAAAAAAGTATAATTTGGTTTTGATTTTTTCCCTTTTTTTCATAGGAGTATTCACCAGACCTTGCATATATTACTGGTAAAAAACGTGCTACACTAACTGATCCCGATTCTCCTGTCACTTTAACTAATATAACAATGATAAGTCATCCATTTGATCATGAGGCTAATGAAATAACATCTAATAATTCTAGAAGTAACAATAATAATCATAATAAAAAATCAGAGAATAGCATCGTTTCATCAGCTAATGGTCGAAACTCTGAGTAAGTTTATATTATAGTAGTACTCATGTTTTTTGTTTGTTACCTTTTCAGTTTATCGCCGTATTATATAGTTTTATTGTATTCGCCATCGTTTCCAAGAGATAAACTTACGTTTTGTTGCAAATCAAATACTACTATTACTGTTTCTGAACATTCTGCAAAATACTCATTTACGTTACTCATTTTTCTTATTTACATCAAAAATTTGATCGTGTTCATTTGTGAAAGTAAAAAAAGGAATTGTGTTTTGTGCATTGACTTACATTTATTTATTTGAACACAAGTATAACCTTGTAGCTGGGACACGTGTTACGCATGCCCAACCACCGAATGCCCCGGCGTGCGATGTGTCATGGTGTAGGAGTAGGTTGGAAGAAAGATAGGGACGGCCAGACCAAAACATGGCACAAGTGCATGAAGTCACTGACAAGTGGACTGAGCCATGTTCATAGGTGTAGACTACCTGGTTGGGATCCGCGAGACAATAACCACCGATGGTTGGAGACCTTGAATGACATGGCTCAAAATCGTTCGCAATGGCGCAGGTGCATTCACTCTTTGTGTTCTCCCAAATTGTAATCTTCTGAATTCTTCATATCCTTTTTTTCTTTTTCCAAATTTATTTCACTGGATTATACTCCTTGAATAACATGTTCAAACCCTAATTTTTCTGATTACAACTTATACTTTTACTACCTCTACCACTACGGGATTTGAATCGACAACTGCATCTCTGTGCTAATGTGGTGTGACAACTCGAACTGATGTACGTATGTACGACGTCCTACGGTGTTACCGACTGACTGACAGACATATATATTGGTACAAGGGGGCACCAGATACTTATTCGCCACCTAAAATAATGAAAATGGGAGGAGGTAAACAATGTAAGGTGCATGTAAAAGAAAAAAGGACAATAACGACCACAAATTAGTGTATGGTAGTGACATGATAATCATAATAATAATGTGGGGAACAGAAAGGTACAGCCATAAATAATTCTTTCAGTTAAGGAAGCTATGGCCACTTTTTCTGAAGAATGTAAGAGAAGTTTACAGCAAGATCGCCACTGGCTTCTATTCTGACCCATATCTGATATCGTTTCTAGCCACTGTGTTGCACCATCTCTAGGACTCCAACCAGAGTTTATTTTATTTTATTTGAACATATACATATTGGTACAAGAGTTTTTTCTTGTCGGCTTGTTTACTCGACAGATAATCAGTTGTATGTATATCCCAGTACTATTAATAATTAGTCATTGTTAACTGTAAATTACACCTACATTTTATTTCTGTGTTTTATAAATATGTTTTCCCATTAGAATTAATTTATCTAAAGTAGTAGTCTTGTGTTTATTTTTTTTAAATTTTCTTATTTGAGATAATTAAGTATGAACCTGAGGATAATAGGATTCATAATCAAGTTACATTCTGCCTATATTCACTTTTATATTTACATTAATAAATGCTGTCAGGAAATAAAGAAACCAATCATATAATGTGTGTATAGGTTAATACACTTGTAGTAACTCAAGAAAATAACTATCTAGTTACTTTATTGATAATAATCTGAAGAGATATGTACTCTTCTCGCAACTCATTGTTTTCAGTTCAAGTATATCACATACAAATCTCTTCTAATATTCTTTCATAATTGATATAGAGTTTCCTACTTTTTCCAACCTTATTTTCCTCACTCTTGAAAATTATCCACCGCAAATTCTAGTCTTCGTATATATCAGACAAGAAAGTACTTCCTAATTGGGTTATGTGTCTGGTTTTATTCACTAATTCTGTGATTTTTCGAGTCATAATAGTAGTTTGATGAAGTTATTATAGGTATTTGAAGACTGCAGCACAAAAGTGATCTGTTCTGGAATAATCTGTTTTGGGAGTATGGTTACAACATTCACGTAAATAAAAATTATAGACCAAACCTTGATAAAGTCCTGTATATTGATCATTTAAGTTATAAACTTTGTTTGAAATCATTTTACTTTTATCATTGGGTTTGATTAGAACCCAGTGTGCAGAGAACACATAAACATGGTTAAGTCATTTGAAAAATAAGCATTTGAAGGATACAACTTCTATGTTCGCTCATTCACCAATGAATTTAAGACCTATTTATCTAAATGATTACCACTATCATATCAAATTCTTTGTCTGGCACAATCATAATATCAACCTATTTCTCCTGTTTTGATTATGGGTGTGTATTTCTTTTTTATTCTGTTTCTAAATTGAAACACAGCAAAATAATAACAACAAACATCCTCAGTGACATGGACAACAATAATAATAGTATCGAGAATTGGGATTTTAAATTAAGACAACACAGATGTAAGCGAACATTATCGTTTTTAGTTAGATCATCATCAGGCTTTACTCTAATCACGTGAATATTTGTAATTAGAATATGAGACTAATCAAGGTAAGTTAGTGATCACTATAGAATAGACAGCATAACTATGCATCGTATGCAAACAGTACACATTGATAGTAAGAAGACAAATGTACTAGTAGAGATAAGAATAATAAAATAACAGAATTTCTAGTCAATAGTTTACCATGGAAGTAGGTCAAACGTGGAAAAAATGAACACTAAAATAATTACAAAACACTATCAAAATTACGTAATAAGAATTATGTAAATAACTAAGTAGTGAAGAATATAAACGGAGGGAGATGAAAGACAACAAATTAATACGGGATGTCGGAAAACGAACAAAATAATTTATTAAGTCATGTCCAGCCAAGGAAGAGATGAGAGTGTCATGACTTTATTTTGAATACATCAATGTCAGTTATAGGTTCTGATTCCTACGGCTTCTGGTATGTGTGGGTGACGAGTCCCATTGAGAAAACATGTCTAATTTCCTTCTACCATATAATTTCTATCAATATAGTGTGACAAAATATAACTGAGGATTATCTTTGTCTGGCTCTTTCCAAACCAAGCTCATTCGTTGGTTAAGTTGTCTGGTAGTACACCCAGTACAATTATTTCCACAGGAGCAGGTAAATTTATAGATGCACATTGAAGAGGCGAACCCAGGTAATTTATCGTTTGTTCAAGTAGATATCAATGGTCCACTAGAAAATGTCAACACAAAACTAGTTGCGTTGATTGTTTTATTAACTGCCCTCGCTAATCTGTCATCCAGGACATCGCTAGCCACATCTCTGTTGAATAGACAGCATAACTATGCATCGTATGCAAACAGTACACATTGATAGTAAGAAGACAAATGTACTAGTAGAGATAAGAATAATAAAATAACAGAATTTCTAGTCAATAGTTTACCATGGAAGTAGGTCAAACGTGGAAAAAATGAACACTAAAATAATTACAAAACACTATCAAAATTACGTAATAAGAATTATGTAAATAACTAAGTAGTGAAGAATATAAACGGAGGGAGATGAAAGACAACAAATTAATACGGGATGTCGGAAAACGAACAAAATAATTTATTAAGTCATGTCCAGCCAAGGAAGAGATGAGAGTGTCATGACTTTATTTTGAATACATCAATGTCAGTTATAGGTTCTGATTCCTACGGCTTCTGGTATGTGTGGGTGACGAGTCCCATTGAGAAAACATGTCTAATTTCCTTCTACCATATAATTTCTATCAATATAGTGTGACAAAATATAACTGAGGATTATCTTTGTCTGGCTCTTTCCAAACCAAGCTCATTCGTTGGTTAAGTTGTCTGGTAGTACACCCAGTACAATTATTTCCACAGGAGCAGGTAAATTTATAGATGCACATTGAAGAGGCGAACCCAGGTAATTTATCGTTTGTTCAAGTAGATATCAATGGTCCACTAGAAAATGTCAACACAAAACTAGTTGCGTTGATTGTTTTATTAACTGCCCTCGCTAATCTGTCATCCAGGACATCGCTAGCCACATTTCTGTTGAATTGTAGATTTAAGAATGGGGATTTCTTACAATTGATCACCTCTAACTTATATTTCCCCGCGTACATGTCTTTAAAAGACCTCTCGGTTAGTCGTTATCCGTCAATACGTTATCAGTATACTCCAGTTCCTTCTTTATAGTGTTATCTCAGCAGATCTTTTTTCGCTCTGTTTGTGAGACACTGAACCAGTTTTTTGTAGAGGATGGGTGTAAAACTGTATTTAGCGTGTAATGGGATGAAAAGGAGCTCTTTTTATACACACGTCTTCTCGTCTTAATGAGATATCATGGAAAATTAGTGTATTATCACACTCGTCCTCACCACTGACAATGCCGGGTGTACACTATTGAACTGATTTAAGAGTTCCTTATTGGTATTTTGGTTTATTATGATGAGTGTGTTGTCGATATAGCGGCAGTATAGATCTAATTTATCTATATCTTTTCATTGATGGGTTTATTATCGATAAGTTTTTGGAGTTTGATGAAATCATAAAGCTTTTTATCGACGTATCCTGTTTTGTCTATTAAAGCGACATCTCCCTTACCTGGCTTGGTTATAGTCAGGGTGTCATCTTTTCTTATTATTGTTAAAGCGTCCCAGAGCGACTTGGTTAATAAACGCTTAGTGGTACGTTTATTATTCTTGTATTGTTGATAGCCATCGACTAACGCGGTTTTAAACCTATGTAGCTCCTTCGATTCGGTTGAGACCAAGTCAGTTGTTAATGAAAACAAATTCTCAACCTGTACGTCAGTGTCTAGTTGGTTGGTTCTGTGCCCATAATTTCAGGATTTAGGTGCCAAAGATAAAGCTTCTAGTTGTACTACATCCAATTTAGCACTGGGAAAATTATGAACTCACCGCTTCGGATTAGAAGGAAATCCACTTTCTGGTCTTTGATTTTCCAGTGTTTTCACTAATTTTGTCCTTGTCTTCTCGGATCTAATTTTGGGTGCGGTATTCACATAATCCATAAAAATTCATCTTATTTCCAACAGATTTTCAGCAAAACATTCCCTCTGTAGAAGATTCTTTTCCAAGTCGCTTATATTATTTTAAATGAGAGAGTTTTCGTTTAAAATTTTATGTATAGCATAACGATTGTCGTTATTTTTTAAACTTTTCAAGATATAGACTATTTTCATAACGTTTATAAACTGTTCTATGTACGTAATGGATATTCGAAAAACAAGACTTCTTATTGAACCGTTCTGTATGATGTATGTCTGTTTTCATATATGGAGTGACATGGTTGTATTATTTGATAATAAATAATAATTTCCTTACATTTTCACATAGTTTACTCGTTTCCTTTTGTAGAAATAGAATTAAGTTACCCTAAATTGAATTAACTATACATTATGTAGTTCTTTTTACTTAGGGATGTGGGTGGAAAAGCTAGTTAGCTAATTAATCCAGTTTTTTTAGATCAATCAGTCAATGATAAAAACTACATAAGCGACAAAACCATTTAGATATATACTAATCTTATGATAATTAATTTTCTTTTTTTCATGATTAAATTTCAGTACAAATAATCCTTTTGATGATAAAGTTTCTACAAATCGAAAACCAACTAATGGAGTTAATGCTGGTGTATATGCTATGAGTTCAAGTTCCACTGCTGCTTTTGCCGGTGGTGGTGATGGTGACGGGATCATCGATTCTATGTATACCGAAGAAATCAATGATGCAACTTATGATGATGGTCGGGAAGGTGTAAAAGTACGTGCACTATATGATTATGTTGGACAAGATGGCGATGAAATCAGCTTCGTTGCTGGTAGGTATTTAATTTGTACCCTTTTGATTACAATTTTTTCACTTTTTTTTCTTTGTCTCAATGATCACTAAACAATGAATCAATGTATTGGCTAACCTATTATAATGTGTATTTTTTTAAAAGCTCTAAAGTTGAACAATACTTTTATCTATTTCACTTTGGATTTTTTCTAACAAACTGATATCGGTAAATCATCAAAACGTTTTGTATAACCAACTAAATTAGCAAAATGAACTATTCGATCGAGAAATGTTAATGAGAAAATAAGTACACGGAAATTACTATTTTCTTTTTCATATGTTATCTTAATTTTGAGAATAATAATAATAATAATTTCATATTTCATGTTTATCAACTTGTTTTCATTTTCGTACATAATCTTTTATTGTTCACGCTCGTATTGTTTTTAGCGGTTGCTCGTGACTGATTTGATATAACTTAACTATCAGAGAACAGATTCTCAAGTTTAGCTTTGACATACACTGTACGTAATATTTGAATTTGCGATTCAGTGATTAATAACCAAGTACTTTAACCATTGAGATTGTATACTGTAATTTCATAACAGATATTTACTTAGTTGGTCCCTATACTTTCTGTTCAAATATTTTCCACTGAGATTGTTTCTTTTTTATTCTCTCATAAAAGACGTAAGCAGTGTTGTTTCCTCCCAGTTCTCCTTTCAGTGACTTGTGTGTCGATTAAGTTGTCATTTATTTCTTTTTCCACTGGATCTCCAGGTTCTATGATAGCTAACTATTGTCAACAATATTCAGGGAAAAATCAGTCAGCTGGAGATTCTAGATATTTCTTGATGGTGCGAGTGTCAGGTATCAGGAGTTGCTGAAATATTCATTCCACCATCTATTGTCAAACCTAGTCCATTTTAATGTAGAGTTACTTAACCCAACAACCATATTGTATAGTAATCGAGTAAAGTTGACCCACCATAAGAACTAGGTAATACGACATTGTTTAATATCACTGATATACTTTAATATCTTTACGGTTACCTTCTATTAGAAATCTTTGTAGTGTTTGGTCCGTTGTTTAAAAACTTTATTGCAATTCATTAATCGATTATGTGTTCATGTTGCATTTGTTTTTAGTTGATTTTATATTTCTGTTTGTATTTTCGTTGTGTCGTTATCTCATTATTTGAATTGGTTATTTTACGGAGATTTTCAAAAACTTGGTTTTTTAATGATCATTATCATAAGTAGGTGACTGGTAAGATTATAGAGAATAACACAGTATGGCGCATATATATATTTAGTGCCTACTTGTGCCAATGCTTATGAATTGGAGTAATAGGAAGAGCAACTTAGTAAGGATAATCATAATGATTATGGTATTTCTAGTGTGGTATAGTTTAATTGGCTAAGAAGCTTTATTAAGATAGTGGATATATAATGGTGTTTAATGGCGGTGTCCGTTGGTTATATGAATAAATAGAAACTGCATATATATTTACTAGTAATACCATATCGAATAGTTTCCTTTCTACATTATTTTGAGTCAAAAACTTCATGAACTCATGACGTTGAAGTTGGTTTGCTTTCAGAACTGATTCCATTCAGCGCAGTTCGTTTAAGGGAACAATTTTTAAAGTTTCCTGCTCTAGATTTTTCATTTCATGATGTAATTGATCTAATACTATGTCCTTAATTTTCATAACATTTGTTCAGTTTTTCTATCAACTACAAGTCATTCTATCAAATGTATATTTTAATGGTGAAATAATCATATCATGTCTTTTATCTTCGTTTATCCGAACCTCAACCTTAAAGTTGTGATAAAACAAATTGTTGAAGATTCTAGCTATTTCATTAATCAACATAACCTTGATGATTAAGTAGACAATTCTTCTCAATTTAGATGCTAATTCACATCCAGGTCCATGGTGTGTTAAATATTTTGTATATATATACTTGGGGAAAAACGGAATAGTTGTTTTCTGTCTTTTGTATTCGAATGTGTTTTTGAACAAAGCGAATTTAAGCTTATATCAGTTTTATGTCTTGAAAAATTACCACCACATAAAACAGTCTATATTTTTATTTAACGCACTTATAGAGGTTGTTTTCTTTTTACTTGTTAACAAATTTCATGATTGTATTGTTGTGTAAATATTACCCATTCTCAGTAACCTCTTTACATCTTATTATTCTATTAATTGTGAATTGTATATCTCTTAATAATTATTCTTTACGATCCATACGCTTTAGTTTAGAAGTTGATTTTTTTCAGGAGGTGAAACACGGTTAAATCTACCCCATACGCCGCATATATTAGATCAGCTTTTTCTTATTTCATTTATTAAGTCGCTCATAGTCATAACATTACTAATCTTTCTTTATAAATTTCAAACGTTTTACTCATAACTAATTTATTGGGAACTCCAAGAAATTATTTTAACAACAGAGTTATAAAAGAGGCTAAATAGTAGTAAAATGTTTATCTCATCTTAGCTTGTGACTCTTAATCGTGCGTGTTAGAAGCACCATATGAAATAAAACCCAAGGATTGACCCGATATGAATTAGCGAGTAAACATTTCTGTAGAAATCTCTAATGGAAATGAAACAACTGTTCCTAGATCTCTTGTTTTCTAAAAATTTCCCAGTTGGTGTTATGATGTAAGTTGTCTCTTCGAAACATGAATTTTATTAATTAAGATAATAATGTTAGCAGCAGTAGCAATAATAATCAAGATAAGTGACTGTTTTAAATTTATATAGATAGTAACTTTCTAAAGTTCTTTTTGTTTATTTATTATAGGTGACACGTTTGAAAAACTTGAAGAACCTGATGATCAAGGTTGGTGTAAAGGACGAAAAGATGGTCGTGTTGGTCTATATCCTGCAAACTACGTAGAACCTTGTTCAAAATAATGCTACACATAAAATATTTGATCCATCATTTCTTTTCATCACATTTTGTATCTGTGGCTTGTTGTTTTTTTTGAAACACATTTTTACAATTGCTTGTATTCGTATCGTAGAATATTGAAGGAATGTGCGAATAGTTAAAACACGGAATTTACATCTTTTTTATATCTTCGTTGATATATATATATATTTAAAGGAGCGGTTTCTCCCACATGTCCTACATACTTTTTGTAGATGAGAAAACGTGACCCTATCATATTTTAAAAACCATTTATTCTAGTTATAGCGAACCACGAAAAGAGGACCTAACAAATTTCATTTATTGATGATTATTTTCGGTTTATTTTCTGTGCCGCATGGATTTTTCTCAGAATGAAAATTGCTATTTATTGTTACATTTCTTCCTTTAGAAAACAATGATTATCGTTTTCAATGTCATCACCATTGTGTAATATCTGTCACTTACAAATGTTGCTCTATCGCTGTTGAATAAGGGATTTTCAAGTGTATTCATCATATAAATCAACTCTTACTATTTCATTTATCTTATTTTTGTGAGTTGAAACACCGTATAAACTTTGATGAACAATATACATATGTAATAGGAATAAATTTCAAATATTTATCAATTAATTTATGCTTGAATTTAATAATTTTGCTTTAAACGTGGGCGCTGTCTGTTCTACTCATTTCCCATCTTTCTAAAATAATTTTTGTCCATTTTAGTATAAATACATAATATATTCATATTTATGTATATATATATTTCTTAAAGTCGTTATATTAAGGCAAATTTATAGAGTTTCTCATTGTTGCTATATATGAATGGTATATTTTTGTTTGTAACCTCATCGTTAGTTTTTTCTATTTATTAGCATTACATTATCCCCTTTTTTATTTTTCCCTCATAAATTGTCTATCATATTATTTTTTCTTACATTCTTTCATTGTTTCTCCATTATATTTTGTTATCTGACAACTGAGTTGTCTGTTCTTCTATATCTGTGCATGAATCATAACAGATTTTCATCGTATTACGTTACTTGTTTCAATCCAGTTGAAATTTTCTTCCATCTTATATATATATATATATATATATATATAATGACTAGATAGATGAGAGACCGTATTCGGTAAATAATTTCTTAAATTATACTGAACTGATAGGTCAAAGTGATTGAAAAATTTCATACTTATCACCAATTTTTTAAATTATTGTTGAAATAGATCAATGGATTTTTTAATACGACTGAAGGGGTTCAAGTAAGAGTTTGATTATGTGATTTAGGACTAGATTTCTACTAAGCACATTTCAAAAGATGGAAGCCTTTCGTTAACTGATCATGTGTATACAATTTAGAATATTACAGTTGTTTACTTGAACGAAAATTTGTCTGACTATGTATTACCTGTCATTTAGTAAACAAATAATCAACAATGAAAATGTTATTCGTAGGCAACAATCAATGTCAGTTGCAACGATTAAAATAACAAAAAATAAATAACTTCTAACATGTCTATACGTTTTAGTGATCTCATATTTAAATTATGACATTTTCATTGACGGTATCAGCAAATGTTGACTTGATTGTCAAATCAATATTGGTTGATTTTGGTCAAAATAATACGGAAAAAATAAAAGCTATGTTGATACATTTTGTTTTATTTATCAGCCCTTTTTACAAGCATAAATACTATTGCTTTATCAAATGATCAAAACAGGAATTTGAAGATATTCCAATACGTGAATTGACGTAACTTAGTGCTTGTTCTTCATGTTAATAGATTAATAAACATGTGTTGCTATGTTGATTTGTATTGATTTTTTGAATTATCTCATTGATGCTTGAGACTGGAATTTATCAGTGTCTTTTGGTATATGTGCTTCCTGTGCAGATTACCTCGATATTCCCACAAGTCACAAGCATTATAACAAGAAATGGATGGTGGCTAACACTGCAGTCCTGCACGTGCGTTTCTTCCTATTTGGGACTTATTAAGTCGATGTACATGCATTCCAGAGTTGATGTTCACTCTAAGACCAGCCATTATCAATCAATGCTTATAATTCTAATAATTTAAAGCGATCCGTACAGAATGCGAATCTGGCAAAAGAAACTGATAAACTGCAGTCTTAAACACCTTTGGGAAGATGTGAATTGCAATTCACCCCGTTGAACAAGCTAAGTGGGAAACACGGTCGCGTTTGAAGCAAACGTTACTGATTCGAGTCGCGAAGTGAGCTTCAACTCTCCGATCCAGCTGACGAGTCCCGAATAGGGAGAAACATGACGAATTTCCCTACTGGTTACTATTCACCTCTGCTTATGTGTTGGGCCGTTTTATATTGTGTATAGTATTCGTATTAAAAAACGATTGATGAAATGCAGAAATCAGGATATATCATCAGGTATTTATTCTTTTGGTGATCATTCGTGAGCTTGCTAGTTCATTCGACATTAACAACTGTTGATGAGTAAACTGTATTTGAATGGTAGGAAGTTATTGAGTACGGACAAGCCTTTGTTTGATTAGTATACTCTCTGGAACGAATACTAATTGTTAGGTGATTATCAAGTTGTTTGTTATGTAACCTTATGTGTATTTTGAGAAGTAATTCTGGTCAGTTTCTGGAGATAGTATTAGATGTAACTATTACCTGTTAATATACTTATCTGTCATTCATGTATTTGTGTGATTGTCAATAATACTGTTGACTGCTTATATCAAAAGTGAAGCAGTATTCACTGAATAAAAATTACTGTTATATATACACATATCATTTACGTCATAAAAATCAACACATTTCATGTTTTTACATGATAAATGAATTATATAAGTTCTCACACCAATCAGAACATTCAAAAACAAGGTGAGTATTGCTTGTAGGTCTGATTCTTAACTTACGTGATTATCCAAGTAAAATGCCTGATCATGATATAACACAATTCCCAGGTTTAGTGTGGAATTGGTATGTTTAGTAATTGTAGTATTTAACAATAATCAGTGGTCATAATTGACCAGTAGAGCTGATCCATGTTTGTTGCGAGACAGTTACCCACCGAAGGCAACTGAAGATGGTAGCACTATTTCGTGGTTTGATTGAAGTCAGACATAAACATCGTTGGATGCTTGCCCAGAGTTTGCGCGCTGGATCATGGATGCGCTCTGCTGAGAAGTCCTTTACCGGGACATAAGTGGTCGTCCAGTATTTTCCATTGGTGTCCTAAATTTATCGATTCATAATTTCAATGAAATAATGGGTCAAAAAGAGTATAAAGTTACAATTAATTTAAAGTAATTTGAAATAACTATTCGATGAATAATTTCGTTAAACACTAGATACCTAAATTCACAATTTCCTTTTGTTCGCTTTTTCCTAACATTATCCTAAGATACCATTAACTGTGCTATCTCATAACATATTTTCTTATAACAATATTTAATCTAACATTAACTGAAGTCCAACATTGTTTTTTTGTTAATTGGTAAGTATTTGAATAGCGTATGTAACAAAATATTTGGGTCATTCCTATGACATTTTGTGTTTCGTTTCGAGTAGCATCAATGTTCTTATCGAATTAATTAATAAAATGTGTATAATTCATATTTGGCACTGATTTTACATGATAGTGATTATATATTTCGAATAAGTAATAATATGGTGAAGTGATTTTACATCTTGGTACATTCAATATCCGTTCATTTTAAAGTTTAACGATTAAAGTATTAGGGAATTTACATAAATTAAAGATTGGTTGACTTAGTTTTAAAGTTAATCGTGTTAGTTTTGTGGTAAAATAGCACAATGCAATAAATACAAAACAGTGGTACTCAGCATTATTTCTTCTGAACATACTGCGATGAAAAGTTCTCATTCAGAACGAAATGTGTATTCTATGCTCCATACGTTTCAGTGATTCATTAATTGTCATTTTTTAGATAATTGAATTTTCAAACCGACGGATGAAGGATATACAATTGGTATAAGAATTTTTAGTAGATAAAGAGAGAGTTGCTAAATTTATTTTACTACCTTGTTGCGCAATAAAAACTCTCACTGTTCACGTGTGTTATGGGTCAGAGAATTTTATCGATTGGGTTAAACATTTTGTTTTCTGTATTCTTAATGTTGTTACTTTTTATGGAACGTTACTTTGTTGTGATTATTTGCCCAATTAAGATTTTTATTGACTGACCATAAAACTAGAGCTAATAATTCAATTATTTCACCTTAACGATAATCTAGAACAACATATATAAGCGAACAATATTGTTTTCGATTAGATCCTCATCAGGCTTTACTCTAATATACAGTAATATTTATATGCATATACGAAATTATTAAACCAATCAAAGTAGTTTATAAGTCAATGATAACAATGGAAAAGATTACATAATAAGTAAGATGTGAAAAGTACAAATTGATGGTGTGACAACAGGTGCATTAGTTTTTGATAAGCAATAATAATAAAGGTTCAAATCAATGTTACATAATCTGAAATAGGTCAATGATTAGAAAAATATAGAAACTGCGATAACAATTATAAAATTATAAGATGACGTAATAAGAAATGTTCAGATAATTGGACCATGAAACGTATAGTTGAGAGAAAATAAAGTGGTAGGAGGGTGTGAAGAAAAATAATAAACGAAGAGAAAGTTAGAAAAGGAACAATAAATAAATTCATTTATTAATTAAGGCCAAGGGAGAGATAAGGGAGTTACAAATTTCTTCTGAACACAAAGACTTGGCTTGTTGGTTCGGATTCCTATAGCTTCTGCTATGTGTAAGAGACGAGATCGAACACCATAAGGAAAACTAGTGGGAATCCGATAAATAACTTTGAACGACTTGGTTCTGTCTACTATATGACCGCTATCGATCAAGTGTGATAAAACCGAGCTGCGTATTGTTTTGACGTAACCTTTTCCGAACCACGATGGGAGGTGTTCACTAACTCGTTGGTTCAGTTGCCTGGTAGTGCGCCCAATATAGTTTTCTCCACAGGAGCAGCTGAATTCGTAGATACACCTAGAAGTGGCATAACCAGGTAACTTATCCTTCAATTGCGGAATCACCATCGATCGGGTCGAATACGATAGGCAGAGGTTGGCAGCATTAAACGTTCTCTTTACTGATCTAGTCAATCTATCCCGTAATACATCGCTAGCCAAATCACCATTGAATTGCAGTTTCAAAAAAAGCGGTTTCTTATTAGCCGTCAGGGTCACTATTTTCCTGTTTTGTACGCGCAAATGTTTCTTCAGGAAACCCAATGGATATCCCAATTCAATCAAAATATTATGGATGTGTTGTAATTCTCTATCAATAGTGTCGACTGAGCATATCTTAAGAGCTCTATTTGCAAGGCATTTGACTAAGTTTCTCTTATAATGAAGAGGCACAAAGCTTAAAAAATGTGTGTATTGGCTTGGAGAAGAACTTTTTCTAAACACACCCCTGCTGATAGAACCATTTTCTTTTCTACTTAACAAAACGTCCAGAAAATTTAGTTTGTTATCTATTTCCTCCTCACATGTAAATTTAATAGCAGGATGTTTGTTATTAAAAAGTTCCAGTAGTTGTTCTTTTTTAATGTTCTGATCGGCAATGATGAAGGTGTCATCAACGTAACGACAGTAGAAATCCAGTTTATTGATAACCTCCTTGAGAGGTCCGTTTTCTAGTTTCGCCAGAAAAAAAATCCGCAAGGATGGGACCTAGTGGCGAACCCATCGCTATACCATCAATTTGTCTATAATATGTGTTATTGAAGAGAAAATGGACATTCATTGTGCATTTTAAAAGTAATTGTTTAAGACTAACCCCAGGAATTCCAATATTGATTTGTTTTTCCTGCAGTTGTTGGCACACAAAATCGATAGTCTCTGCTAATGGTACATTGGTGAACAGGGAAGCAACATCTAAAGATATCATTCGTTTCCCATTTAAATTTATATGTTCCATTTTAGATATGAAATCGAATACATCTTTCACGCTTCTATTGACGACTAATTTGTGTAGGGGGTTCAGGATACGAACTAGCCACTTTGCAGTTTTATGATAAGGCGAATTATACATATCTAAAACTGGGCGAAGAGGAAGATCTGTCTTGTGAACTTTAGGTAAACCATATAGTCGCGGTGTGTTCGATCCAGTAGGCTTGAGTGAATCATTTAAGTCAGGAGTAAGGATACCTTTATTTTTTAATTCCTTC